GCTGCTCAGCTCCCCGCTCCTCACACCCATCACTTGGGGAGGCCGGTGGCTTTCATGTCTTTTCCAACAGTGATTTCATGCTGGGGGCTTCCCTGCTCTCTGCGTGAGCGGATCCATTCATTGCAAGCTTCCAGCTCCTGCCCACCAGCAGGTGCTTGAGAGACTTTCAGCAGCAAAACTGCTGCTCAGAAACCCCCCATGATTCACTGTGGGGCTGGAAACTCATTTTCATTATGTTCTGTTGAGAAAGAGAAAAATTCCAGCTGCTGACAGCCCAGAGCATCATCAAGCAGGTTCTGCTGAAGGGTTTTCCCCTGGAGCAGAGAAGGGGATGACCCAGCATGTGTTGGGCAGCATCCCTGGGCCACTCAGGGCCAGAAGCAGGATGCTGGAGCACCCAGAGCAGCTCATCAGGAGGATGGACCCATCTAGGACAAGCTTAAACTGAAACAAGGGCAATTCCAGCTCCTTTTCACTGTCCTGCTCCATTAAAGTGAATCTCCTCTTATTCAGTTGTGTGCAATGGCAGACCTAGAAATGCCAGGTCTGTGCCTGGTTTAGGGATCTCCATTGAGCTGGGGTGGGGAATCTCATCCTGATGAGACATGTTCTCTGGCTCTCATCACCCCCTGGGGATCTCGGGTAGAAATTCATGGCTGGCGGGGGAAATCCATGGCTCCACATCAGAGCAAGAGTGGTTTATCTGCTGTTTAACTTCCCCAGCACCTCATTTCTAGTAAGCAGCTGCATTTCCCACTTGCATCACCTGCCTCGTGGCGCAGCATCATCCACGTCACATCCCCATGTCCCAGCATGGCCCATGGGCAGAAGGAACCAAGAGTCATGTGTGGACAGACAGGCTGGTTATACCCGCAGGGAAAAGGAAGGAGTAGCTGTAGGGCAGCAAACACCCCTGTGAATCGACCACAGACACATCACAAACAGGTTGAGTGAAGAAGAGGAGCAGGGGGTGAAGGCACCGGACGGGTGGGACGGTTTTGGGCCCCCGATCCAGACAAATGAGGTCAGTTCCTGGCTCCTTTTTGCCAGCCAGTGCCAGGTGGGATGGGCGGGACGGGCAGGACAGCCATGGGAGAGCTGTGACGGCAACGGGAATGCTGAGGGACCGGCTCTGGCTCCCAGGTGTGTCCCGGAAGGGCTGGACGGGCTGAGCCCAGGATGAGATGTAATAGAAGGAAAAGGCCAGGAGAGGGCTCGGGCTCGTCTCCTCCAGGCGATGGGGAGGCTGGAAAACGTCCCTGTGATGCGGCAGCACCTCCCCATCCCCTCCCTTTCTCCTGGCCCTGGGGGCATCCCGATTCCAGGCTCCAGCTGGCTCCTTTGGGGGTTCCTCTATACTCCCATCCCACCAGGAAAAGCTGCCCAGGGGGATGCTATGGCTAGAACAGCATCTCGGATGAGCCTGCGGTCAGCACATGCCCTGGGTGCTTTGCATGGAGCAAGCAGGCAGCTACAGGGGGGTTTCTCACCGACTTTCGCATCCCATTTAGGCAGATACAGGATTTCCTGGGTCTGTTGTCCTGTCCCAGGCCGCCTGCAAGGCTGGAGGCAGAAGTAACCCCCCAAAACCAGCTCTGGGAAAGAAATCAAACCCTCTGGAGGCTTTTGTTTCTGCCTGTGCTAGAGGAAGCCTGGAGAAGTGCTGCAAGCGCTGACCTTCCTGTGCTAGCCCCAAATAACTCACTGAACAATGTGGGCATAGCGGGGGTGAGGGTGGTGATGCCTCCAAAGCAGCCCCAAAGCACACGGCAAACCCAGGCTTGTGGCTCATTGTGTCTGAAGGAAACAGCTGGAGGGCAGGAAAAATGCAGCCCAGAATAAAACCCGGCCACAAATGTTCCTTCTGCTGGTTTTGTCAGGAAATACAGCACAAGGCTCCATCTTTTGTCCTGGCTGTTCCCAGGGAGCAGAGATGGGGACGCACAGGCAAAGGCTGGGAAATGGGAATGATGCTGCAACCCCTTTGTGGGTCTGTGGGGTCTCTCTGTTACCGGGAGCTGCCCCAGTGGCACTTGATCCCATCCTCACAACCTACTTTTGGGACAAGAAAATAGAACCTGGGCAGCCAAGATGGTGTTACTGCAGCTCCTGGGGGGTTCAGCATCGCCTCGGTGCTCTGCTCCCACTCCTCCTGCTTCACTCTTCCCACAGCTCCAGGAAACTCTTCAGTGCCCAGGATGTTAGAGCGCTGGTGATCCAATGCTTGGCAGCACTAGAGCTGGAAGTGCAGATACCAGTGACTGCATCTAGTACCCGAGGGAGGGGATCCTGCCCCCTCTGCTGTGCTCTGGGGAGACCCCCCCTGCAGCCCTGATCCAGCTCTGGGGAACAGCACAGGAGGGACGTGGAGCTGCTGGAGCGAGGCCAGAGGAGGCCCCGGAGCTGCTGCGAGGGCTGGAGCAGCTCTGCTCTGGAGCCAGGCTGAGAGAGCTGGGCTGGGGCAGCTGGAGAAGAGAAGGCTCCTGGAGGGGACACCTTAGAGCAGCTCCAGGGCCTAAAGGGGCTCCAGGACACCTGGAGAGGGGCTTTGGACAAGGGATGTAGGGACAGGCCAAGGGGAATGGCTTGAACCTGCCAGAGGGGAGACTGAGATGAGCTCTGAGGCAGAAG